CTCTCTCTCTCTCTCTCTCTCTCTCTCTCTCTCTCTCTCTCTCTCTCTCTCTCTCTCTCTCTCTCTCTCTCTCTCTCTCAACACACACACACAGGCTAGAGGAGTGCCCAGGAGCAAAAATCGAAAAGATTGAGGACTGGAGAACAAACTGATGACAATCATTGTGTAGGGCGCTCTCAAACATGTGGCAGAAAATCAACCATCCATATTCCACACGCTCCGTCACATGCATTGAATTAAGTCAGATGACATATTGCATGCACCATATTCCCACTTAGTACTTCGCAGGACAGAGTCCGACAGACACCCTCAGATTGCTCTCCCTTTGTTTTTTGGAATTTTTCCTTCTTTTTGTCTTTCTTTTCTTCGTTGCGCTGGCATGCTTACCATACTTGCTCCATCCTCCCTCACCCCATCAACAAGCCATCCCAGCAACCAGCCTTGACGGTGCCACGACCACCATCAACGCACACGCAATCTCACAGCGACATTTCAGTTGACTTTGCCAGACGAGAAGCAAGCTCGTACAAAAACACTATCCCACCAATGATTGCACAGCAGAACGCTGTTTGCTCCGCACCACCCTTTTGCTTTATTCATTCTTTGCCCACTTCTGTTGACTTGTCCGAGGCCCCTCTGACCGCCTTCTCCACCTCCACTATCACCAACCTTACCACTCTCAAGAGCACAGTGCACAAACTGTAGTTGGGTGCTGTTCTACAAGCTGAATTCTATTTAAACCACGAGTACCTTTCCCATATGTCGGCCCCGGGCGCAGCGCGCCAAGCTTTTTCGATGTACCTGGCCGCCGCCGCCCGCATAGGCCCTCCGTGTTAACCGCCGCACCTTTTTTTTCATAGCGGAGAAAGGTACAGGTGGCTTAACAGAAAGGGCAGCTCTCCATGCCCATTTACGACAGACTCATTCTTCACACTGCCACCACTGACCACCTGCCCTCACCTTATCATTACCATATTCAAAGCTTCCTGTTGATAGTCAATGTGATTTGATCAAGCCAGCAGTTTACATGAACCTAAGTAGACCCGCTTTCCAGCAGGTGATGCTCCCCACCAATAGATGGAGCCTCTCCCCCGGTGCTAGCGGTGTTTGCTCTTACCAGCACCTCAAGCACTGGAGTGGGTTGTTTAAAAAAAAAAAAAAAAAAAAAAGAAGAGCTCTTACCGGTATAAGGGCACTTGGCTTCGGCTGATATGATATTAAAAAAAAAAAAAAAACTGAGACGTAGCAAAGGGGCCCGCTATATCCAAAATAATGCGTTGGGTGGATGCCTTGGCATTGAGAAAGAAATGACCGAATGAAAGGCGAAACATCAAGGGGAGAAGCTCTCTCTTTCATCCATGGGTTTCCGAATGGGAAACCGCAACGATTTTTTATTATTATTTTTTTTAACACACCCCCAGACAGTGCTAGTGCTGCTGGTAAGAGCAGGCATTACTAGCACCCGGGGAGAGGCTCCATCTATTGGTGGGGAGCGTCACCTGCTGGAAAACGGGTCCAAGTTGACTTGGCAAAGTGAAACATCTAAGCAGCAAAAAAAAAAAAAAA